GAATGACCCTTTCACAGGGGTCGCCTAAGACCATCGGAAACCACATATATAATTACATATTGTTTTTGTGGTTAATCACTATGCTTTAATTATGTTCAATTTGTAACAATGAAATTGGGGGTCACCACAATTCATACAGTTCATTTTGAGGAACTGTATTAAAGGGTCGCGGCATTAGGAAGGTTGAGAACCACTGGCCTAGGCCCTAGGCCAGCCGTGGGCAAACTACGGCCCACGGGCCGGATCCGGCCCCTTTGAAATGAATAAAACTAAAAAGAAAAAAAGACCGTACCCTTTTATGTAATGATGTTTACTTTGAATTTATATTAGTTCACACAAACACTCCATCCATGCTTTTGTTCCGGCCCTCCGGTCCAGTTTAAGAACCCATTGTGGCCCTCGAGTCAAAAAGTTTGCCCACCCCTGCCCTAGGCGAACCACTTTGCCCCAGGGTATCACCAGTAAAAGGAGGGTGAAGGCAGACTTGGGCAGATCTGCTGGGGACTCTGTTCCTGAATTACCTCCAGCCTGGTGACCTCTGCAGGATACAGCAGCAGGAGCTTTACAAGCCTGTGCCACTTAGCACGGAACAGGACACTGGGGCTGAGCGCTACCACAAGCACTTTTGTGTTTTCACGGGGAGCTGGCCCCTGGGCGCTCGCTCTGGGCCCCCAGCCCAGCCCTGGGAGGCACCGGCCAGCCAGTGGAGGCAGAGCCTGAAGAATGGTCTTTGCAAGGCGGGCATCCAGCAGGGAAGCTCCCTGGCAAAGTGCACCACTTTGTCTTAAAGAGGAGGAAAGAACACAATCAAAGCATTCATTAACACTTCAAAGAGGTTCAAAGAGCACATTTGGTTCCCAATTACTGCCCTCCTGGTCGGCAGCGTCTGGGGCGAATCCCATTACCCTAATCCAGGGGGCAAGGCCCAGGCTTCCCCAGCTGCGGAGAACTGCAGGAGGCTCCCGCTCTGGGGGCCAGTGTCCCATCCCGGACCCGCTGGCCCTGCAGTGATTCACTCTTGGTTAGAAAACCATCATCTTCCCCAAGCTTTTCAGGTCCCTCCCTGATCCTTTCACCTGATTATTATCTTGCCTGCCCTTTTTTTTTAGAAGTTAACACTCAAAGGCCTTGATTTCTAGAACTGAGTCTGGACTTTGCAGAAGCAAAACCCAGCAGGCCCAGACTTGGCTCCTTTATTTCTTACCTCCCTTGTGGCCACTGGTTTGGGGCAACCCCTCTGAGCCCAGGCCAGAAACCTCCCAAACTGGGTGGGGGTGGGGGTTGCTGGAGTCTTGTAATCCCGGGATCAGAGAGAACTCAGCAAGTGAGCCCATGCCTCTGCCCCGGGGAGTTTAGCCCAGCACGGCCTCCTGAATGAGGAGACAGGTGAGGGTCAGACCCTCCCGCTCTGTCCCCACCTTCAGCTTGCACCTAGGCCCTTCATTCACTCGGGTCACCGCCCCCAATGCAGCATCTTCACTCTGCATTCATGTCCACCCGCCACTCTGACTTCCAGATAGTATCTTTATCAATACCATGAGGTTTTCCTAAAATGACTGACAGATTCATGACCTTCCTTTTCAGCCACCAACAAAAAGGGGACTTCAAAGATGTGTGTGTCTATGCGTGTGTTGCCTGTGTGTGTGTGTGTGTGTGTGTGCACATTTGAGTGCCTGCCACCTGAAGCACACACTCCTAATGAAAACCAGGATACATTACAGAGACTGGCAACCTAATGATTACAAAAAGCTATATGAGGCATAACCCATTAGTGAGCGGCATTTTGTTCAAAACCGAGATACCGGGGCAGAATAGCACGCCTTTGTGCGGCACGCACTCAGCTGTAGCTCTGACTAATAATACAGCCGGGATCTGTGCACATTTTCCCCCTTTGTGCCTATTTTCATAAGCTAATAACTCAAGCATGAAATTGTTTCAGGCTGAAAGTGGCGCGAAGAGCACAGCACACTGTGTGTGGAACAACTTTTTGTTGTTGTTGTTACTTAATTTAGTTCGGCTGTTTTTAAGTCAGAGGAGTGGAAACGTTGATGTGCGCTTTCTCTAGCAATGTGGTTTGGTTAAGCCCAAGAAAGTTTGGGATTTTGTTACACAAAGCAAGTTTCTAATGACTCCAGATAGGGGTTTCTCTTTGTACAGGTGTATGTTTCTGTTTGGTACAGGTGGGGACTGTTGGGGGGAGGATGAAATGGAATCAGAACTGTATACTATAAAGGACATCAGCCTGACTCACCTGCCTTCAACTAGAAAACTCCTATCCCACCAGCAAGTCAGCAGGCTGGTTGAGCAGCAGCTGCCTGGACAGCTGGGGGTGGGGGTGGGGTGGAGCAACCACGATGAATGACAGTAATGCCCCTGGATCCTAGAGCACTGGGGTTTGCTGAAATGTTCCTGTCCACAGAATCAGAGAAAGTCCAACTGGAGGAGACCAGATTTCATAGGAGTCTTAGCATTTTTTCTTTTTCTTTTTTAAATCCTTGCCCAATGATATTTTTCCATTGATTTTCAGAGAGAGGGAAAGACAGAGAAATATCAATGTGCGAGAAACACCTCGATTGGTTGCCACCTGCACGTGCCCTGACCAGGGCCGGGGGCCAGGGAGGAGCCTGCAACCGAGGTACATGCCCTTGACTGAAATTGAACCGGGACCTTTCAGTCCTCAGGCCAACGCTCTACCCACTGAGCTGGCTAGGGCTTAAAATTTTTTCTTTCTTCTTCTTTTCTTTCATTGGGACAAGCGACTTTGAAGACTACAGAAGAATACAGAAAATAATATCACAAAATCCTCACACCCATGTTCCAGAATTAGCAAGTGTCAATATTTTATAATGAGGACTCCAACGTTTTTAACGTAAAATAGCAGAAGCATCATTAATAAAGTGCACCTTTTCCTTTATTTCATCGATGGGCAAAGTGAGGAGCAGGAGGGGCAGAACTTGGCTGACGTCCATCCTCGGCAGCATCCTCCCTGACCTGGATCCTCACGAGGAGACTATTAGGAAGGTAAGACCAGCACCCTGGCCCCACTTGACAGATGAAGAGGTCGGGCCCCAGGGGAGGTGTATGAGGGCCGGCAACTACTCAGGGAGATATTCATAGTGACCTATTTCGTGGGGTACAGTTTAATTAACAAGTCGATCATGGATCACTGCCAAAGGAAAACAAAATATCCTGCTACCCAGTGAGACCATGTGATGATTTTTATTTTTATTAGTGGATTGCTCCACTTATAAACCTTTGGTAAATCCCTGTTCCCCCAAAGGGCATCTGAACCTGTTGAGAGTTTTTTAAAAGTGAAATTGAACCAAGTTCAGCGAACAGCCCTTGTGAGCATCTCTGAACTTCTCAGCACACAGCTTGGCGGTGCATCTGTGCAGCCACCTTGGGTTGGGGTTGCGTCATGTCCCGCAGAGCCACTTGCGCTGGGGGAGGTAGGAGCGCCCAGGCCACCGCCCGAATCTCAGTGGGCAGATTCACACCCGCCCCGGCTTCCAGGCTGACGGCACCAACTGCGGGTTCAAATAACACTAATAAAAATCCCGCGCTGATTGGTTTTAGCGCTGGAGAATTCTCGCTGGTCATTTCAGAGGGACTGAAACTCCTCAGGATTATTTCAGGAGAAGTAAAAAGCAGCAGAGAAGAGGTGGCAGCCTGAGTTCCCCCAAGTCCCGGTTGGGGCACGGGATGGTTTCCACGAGGTGCGCCCACCGACAAGCCGGCTCAGACGGAACCACGTGCCCCACCTGCGCGCCAGGCTGGGACCGGACTGCGCACCCACCTGCGGGGGTTTCACATCCCAGTGGGAACTGCTCCCCTGGGTTGGCCCCGGTAGATACTTTGGGGAAACACCTCCTCCTCAAGGGAGTCCTCTCCTCTGAGGCCCAGGGGAGAACTTCCAAAGACAAAAAAACCGCAGGGTTCCTGGCACAAGGGCCTGGCTTTATCAGCTGAGCGCAGGTCCTTCCTGCCGGGCCCTCCTCTGCCGGGAACAGAAACACAAGCAGAAAAGCGCTCTGCAGCAGACACCCGGGCAGTGCTCAGTCCTCAAAACCCTGTCCAAACGAGCTGAGTTCATTCTTTCTCTTTTGTTTAGCTGGGCACGAACATTGTCACCTTTCAAGACCCCTCTAACCAGCAAACAAGCAAACCTAAAAGGGCTGGCCATCTTGAACACACCAGGCAGGCTAACTCCATAATCTTAGGCCTCAAAGAAAATGCTGGAAAGATGGTTCTAAGCTAGACCGACTCCAGATTGCTGGAGGTGGCCTGTGTGACACTGGAAAGCTGGTGGGCGATGGCCCTGTTAAGAGGAAACTGGGCAGGGAAGAAATTAACACAGCGATTCCTTGAATGGGGTTTGGAAAGATTTGGTTAAGGACAGCCCCATTGCTTCTGAACACCCATTAGCAGTGTGTGTGAGGGTTCCAGTCGCTCCACATTTTCACGCTTGCTTACTATGGTCAGTTTTTTCGTTGCACTCATGCTAATAGGTGCATAATGATATCTCTGTGATTTAATTTGCATCTCCCTAATGGCTAATAATGATGAGCATCTTTGCATACACTTGTTTGTCATTCAGATGTCTTCTTTGGTCAGTTTAAATATTTTGCCCAGTGTGAAATTATTTTTTAAATTTATTTTTCAATTATAGTTGACATACAATATCATATTAGTTTCAGGTATACTAGAACAGCATAGTGATCAGACATTTATATACCTTACAGCGTGATCCCCCAGTAAATCTAGTAATTTGACACCATACATAGTTATTATAATATTATTGACTATATTCCTTATGTTGTATTTTACATTCCTGAGACTATTTTTATAACTCGTAATTTGTACTTCTTAATCCCCTTTTTATTTTTGTCCATTTTTAAATTGGGTTGTTTGATTTCTGATTGAGTTTGGGAAGTTCTTCATATATTATAGACACAAGCCCCTTATTGTATGTATGACTTACAAATGTTTCTCCCAGTTTATAGCTTACCTTTCCATTTTCTAACAAGGGCTTTATTTTTTTGTTTTGAAGGAGGCCAGTATATCAGTTTTATTTTTTTTTATGGAGTATGCTTTTGGTGTTATATCTAAGAAATCTTTGCCTAGCCCAAGGTCACAGACATTTTCTTCTAGAACTTATAGATATTTTACTCTATGATGACCCATCTTTTAGTTAATTTTTGTATATGACATAAGGTGTGGATTGAAGTTCACTTTTTTGCCTATGAACATCCCAAGTGTTCCCTTAACATTTGCTGAAAAGACTATCATTTCTCCATTGCCTTGCTTAGCGCCTTTGCCAGAAATCAGTTGTCCGTACATGAGTGGGTCTATTTTGGACTCTCAATTCTGAAGATCCAGTGACATTTGTGCATATCTTTACTCCACTGTCCTGATGATTGTAATGTAATCATAGGTTCTTTTGCAACGTTGTTTTGATCATTCTAAGTCCTTCGCAATTCCTTAGGAGTTTTAGAATCAGTTTGCCAATTTCTACAAAAACTCTTCTGAGATGTTGATCAGAATTGTATGGATTCTATAGATCAAGTTGGTAAAGATTTACACCTCAACAATATTGAGCCTTCTGACCCATGAACACAGTGTCTATCGGTTAGGTCTGATCAAATGATTGAATCCATACCCCCTCCCCTGGAAACTGACCTTTAGGCCACTTCACAACCAACATTCCCCTTCGCTTAGTCCACATTCCACTTGCTAAGACCATTAACCTTCCCCTCCGGACCTCCCCAGGAACAGACCCGCCCAGAGAATTCTCCGCCAAGAGAAAGCCCACCTAGAGTCCTTTAAAACCTCTGACTCCCCGTCCCTGGGTACTGGTGCCATTTTGGGGCTGAGCCCATCTGAGTTTCCAGATGACTTAATACATTTATGATTCTTTACCACTTTCAGCCTCGTGCGTACCTCCTTTGGGGACCCTAACATTTGGTGTTGAAAACCCAGGAGGGTTCCACGGGGAAGGGGAGCGATCGCTGGCCTCCCTCCCTTACGGCCAAGGAGGACACCGGATCCTGGACCTCTCCTTCCCATTGCTGGCCCCCGACTCAATACCGGCTCGTTTCATCTCCGGTAAGTAACAATTGGATCACCTCTCTGGATTTCTGATTTGCCATTTTCCGTCTCAGACAAAAGACGTGGCACTAGGCCAGAAATCCTCTCCAGTCCGGCCTCGGCCCCAGGACCAGGTCCCACAGTCTTCCTTGTTGCATTGCTGGGAGGTCTGCCATGTGGATCAGACTGTCTTCCTCCCTCCGGAGCCTGACTAGACGGTGGGGACGCCCTCCCTCTAGTCTAGCTTCCTGGGTCTCCCTTTGTGGCTTCCCTCCTCTTCCTAATTTACCCCATGGGGGGTTCTTTTTCTGTCCCCAGAAAACACTCCTCTGGGGTGTCTCCTCCAGAATCTTAACGCACTCGGCCTTCCCAGCTGCAGTGCCTTATCTTCTATTACTGCCTGGACACAATGTAAATTATTCACATTTGCCCGAGAATGGAACTTTTGATTTTAACATTCTCCAGGACTTAAGACAATTTCTGTCACCACAATGGGAAGTGGTCAGAGATCCCCTACATCCAGGCCTTCTTTACACTCCGTAATCGTCCTTCTCTCTGTCAAACTTGTTCTACTTATCAAATCCTACTTCTCCACTCAAAGCCCCCTCTGCCAACACCAGACCTGTACCCCTGAGGCTTCTGATCCACCTTTCCCCAACCCATGAGGTCCTTCAGACCCTCCCTTCGACCCTTCTGATCACGTGGTTCTCCATTCCCCTCCAGCTCTCCCGAACCCACCTCCTTATGTCGCTCCTCTGACTGCCCCCCTGTCTTCAGACTCCACCTCTTCGTCCATCCCCTCAACCTCCTTACCAGGTTCCCCTCTTACTCGTTCCCGAACAGCCCAGCCTCCAGCCCCCGTCCTTCCCCTCCGAGAGGTGGCTGGGGCCGGGGGTATTGTCTGGTACACATCCCATTTCCCATGTCCGTCCTCGCACAGATTGAGAGGCATCTTGGGTCTTTTTCCACCAACCCGACCGCCTTTACTAAGGAACTGAGTACGTGACCCAGTCCTATGACCTGACCTGGCACATCTTCGTCATCCCGTCCTCCTCTCTCACCCCAGAGAAGGAGCACATTTGGCTAGTAGCTCAGGACCATGTAATGCCCTCCATAGACAGGACGCAGTGGCCAACCCAGTTGGTGCTACCTCAGTCCCCCGAACAGACCCCAGATGGAACTATCAGGTTACTTCTCCAGGGCACCGGCTCCATAGCCGTATGATCACCTGTCTCATTTCTGGACTCAAAAAAGTTGCCCATAAGGCAGTCAACAATGGCAAACTTAAAATCACTCAGGGCTCTGACGAAAACCCAGCTCTCTGCCTCTCCTGCCTCATGGAGGCCTTACAGAAACTGACCACCTTAGACTCCACCTCCCCAGAGGGAACCCTTCTTCTCAACTCCCATTTTATATCCCAATCAGCCCTCAACATACATTGTAAACTTTGAAAAATAGACCTAGGTCCACAAACCCCTCAAAAAGACCTCATTAACCTGGCCTTTAAGGTCTTTAATAATAGAGACAAGGAGACCCAAATCCAAAAACAAAGGCAAGATCAGGCCAAGCCTGAGGCCCAGAAGGAGGCCTTTCAGCTCCTAGCCACCACTCTCAGGAACCCCAAATGAAGTTCTAATCCTCCAACCAAGGATAAAGCAGAGCTAAGCCTCCTCTGGGCCCATGCTTCAAATGCAATGAGGAAGGGCACTGGACCAAGCCCTGCCCAAACCCGAGACCCCCGCCTAGGCCCTGTCCAAGGTGTGGAAGGGAAGGCCACTAGAAATCAGGCTGTAGTCTGGCCCCTCCAGGTCAGACCTCAGCCAGGCCAGCAAGGCTGCCCTCTGGAACTGGTTTGGAGCTCCCAGACCTGGGACTGGCCACCAAAGACTGAAGCTGTCCAGGTCCTGACAAGGCCCCACAGACTTACATCACAGGACAGAGCCTCCGGTAATGATTGTGGTGGCAGGTACGCCAATCTTGTTTTTAATTGACACTGGGGCCACTTACTCTGTCCTCCCCGAATTCGCTGGGACCCTTGTCCCCTCCTCAGTCTCTGTTATGGGGGTTGATGGACTAGTCTCATAGCCATTAGCCACTTCACCTCTACACTGCATCTTACTAGACACCCCCTCTATGCACTGTGCTGGGCTACATATCTGGCGCTTTGGCCAGATGGGTCATGCTGTGCTGTCTGTTCCTAAAACACATAGATAGGAAGGTACTGACATCAGGCCAGGCCTTGAGATATGGGCTCATGGCCCCTTCCCAGCACACAGGCCTTCTTTCTCAGAAGGCCCAGAAGTCTCATTCCAAATTTGGGAGACAAAGGACTGGAAAAAGTATAAATAAAGAGAGTTTCCTCCATGTTGGGGGCCCCAGAATTTGAAAGACATATTTTTCTCTGGGCCTCCACAGAATTTATTTTTATTTATTTATTTATTTATTTAATATATTTTATTGATTTTTTTACAGAGAGGAAGGAAGAGGGATAGAGAGTTAGAAACATCGATGAGAGAGAAACATCGATCAGCCGCCCCCTACACACCCCCCACTGGGGATGTGCCTGCAACCAAGGTACATGCCCTTGACCAGAATCGAACCCGGGACCATCCAGTCCGCAGGCTGACGCTCTATCCACTGAGCCAAACTGGTTACGGCCACAGAATTTAATATAAAATGTAACTCCTGTAGTAGTCTGGACTGCAGTTCAGCCTCTGCTTCGGCAGGGTGCTGTAACTGTAGTCAGCTGGCCAGCTTAATAAAGGCTCTTAAATTTAAATTCTGAGTCAGTGGTCTGTCTCGCTGAGTGAACCCATAACATGCACTCTTTTCTCGTTCTTCCTCAGTGCCTGACTGGGACTACCTTGCATCCCCTCATAAAGCCCAGTTGTCCTGAACCACAGTCACCTATCTTGGTTTCACTCTCACCCCACAAAGTCGAACCATTACCTTATACCAAGCATGTCAAACTCAAAGGCCAACACAGGCCAACTAAACAAGGCATGTGACCCGTGGGCCAGTCGTTTGACATGCTTGCCTTAGATCATAAATGCCTTATCTCCTCCATGACTATCCCCTCCTCTAGACAAGAAATACTCTCCTTTCTCAGGCTTGCTGGATACTTTCACCTCTGGTTCCCAACTTTAGTCTTCTTGCAAAGCCCCTCTATGATGCGGCGAAAGACCCCTTACTGAGCCTTTAGGTCCCAAGGCCAGCATTCTCACCCCTTTAATGATCTGAAACTTGCTCACCTCAGTGCCTTCCCACATCCCCCCTTCCCAAATAACAACTTTCTTTACTGCAAAACTGCAAAAGTTTACTTAACAGTCCTGCTACTATCAGAAGCTGAACTCATTATCACCCAAACCTTAGTATGTTACCTCTAAGGGAAAATGTGGCAGTTTTAAATCCAAGCAGCTAGAGGCTTGGGAACAAGCTGTGGGTCTGCTACCTCAGTGCCTTCCCACATCCCCCCTTCCCAAATAACAACTTTCTTTACTGCAAAACTGCAAAAGTTTACTTAACAGTCCTGCTACTATCAGAAGCTGAACTCATTATCACCCAAACCTTAGTATGTTACCTCTAAGGGAAAATGTGGCAGTTTTAAATCCAAGCAGCTAGAGGCTTGGGAACAAGCTGTGGGTCTGCTCCTTCCCCCCCCCCCCCCCCCCCCCCCCCTCTTTTCTC